CTCTACTGTTACTATAGCCCCCCCCCCAACACATACACTCCTGATCTGTCCTAACAAACACTGAGCAAAATCTCATTAGGCTGAATTGAATGCGTCCCACCTAGCAACAGTTTTGGAAAGCATTGATAAGTCAATCACTCTGTTATGTAACAGATAACATAACATCTTTATGTTGCTCTTTATATTGTATATAAATGTCAAGATAAATGGAGCAATAGAAATGGTCTAAAATTGGTCTAAAATAGTGTCATTCAATGCCAAAAATGTCAAAAGTTACCATTTTGGTTTGTTGTGAGAATAAAGATAAGGTGCTTGACAAAATGCCATAGTAGTTCATGTGTGGCATGGTGAGGAACAGTCGTGTGCAGCCTGTTCAGTGCTGGAGTTTGTGGTTGTATGTGTATGTCTATTTGCATGAGTTTTCTGTCCAAGACTGAGAGCAGGTCTGAATGACAGGGTCTCTGTGGGTTTTTTTTTTTCCTGGAGGCTGACAGGACTGTGGGCTGCTGATGATAAGAGCCTGTCCTGTTAGGCACCTCCAGCAGAAAGCTGCAGGAGAAGCTGTCCCTGCTAATGAATTAGAGACCAGAGCTTAATGAATGGGCTTGTGGGGCACACAAGGAGAAGGAGACTAGTGCACAGCACAGCAACATGAGAGATGAACTGTCTCCTTCACTGGGCTCTGTAATTAGCTCTCCTCTCGCTCTCCTGTCTTTAGCACTAATGACATATAGAGTGCTGGGCATTTGGTGTGTGCATGTAGCTCACTTCCCCAGAGAGAGACGGTTAGAAAGGACAGCAAGAGGGAAAAGGAGAGAGATATAGCTTTTTAAAAAAGCAGAGGTAGAGGCTCTTTTTCCACCTTACCTTGTCCTTAATTTCTCTCTCTGACCACATCTGAACTTCGCCAGCTTTGAAGATAACTACAGAAGTGCTGAACATGCGTCATATCGTAACGACACAGGCCTGAGGTGAAGCACAGAAAATCAGCTAATTAGGCTACTCTGCATTTTTTAAATGTCTGAAATGACTTTTCATGTTAGTAATTACTGTGATTTTATATGCAGTAAAAACCTTTTCAATATTATATAATATAATGTTACAAACTAATCATAATGTAGATGTATAATTCAGAAATTAGTATTTTTTGGGAACAACAAGAAGTTATTAACCCTTTTTCACAGTGGTCATAAAATGCCATTTCTACCTGTTTTGGAGGCCTCTCAGTTTTTTATACTATGTTTTTTTTCCTTTAATAATACTGATGGAATATAGTTCAGTGTAAATGTGTATGATTAACTGAACTAGAAGCAGCCTGGGTTTTCATCTTCTTAAGTGAGCAAGCAAGCTATCTATTGAAAGCTGCAGTTATGCTGTCTGTTTTGGCCCAGCTGTTTTTGTGGAGAGGTGTGAATTGTTTTCACAGCAGGGCTTCTCACCTCTCCCCTTTCACCCATCATTGCTCGCTAGCAGCTCAACACAGAGTCACAACATTTCACACTCAGTGAACCAACAGTATCCTAGTCAATCTGATAACTGAGTTATGTGGAAAATATCTGATTGGATCATATTTAGTAACAATATTTGAGTCGATTAGGTCCACTAGGGAGGAGAGAGGTTAATGATAAATAATCATAGATAATGATAAATAATATCGTGGAATTATCTATTTACAATATTTTTGTAAAATCAGCTGTCTCAAGATCTAATCCCCACTTTTCCAATATGAGGCATCCTTGATATGAATTTTTCATTACTTTAACTAAATTGTTGTAATATAGAGCAGTAATCAACCCTAGTCCTGAAGATCTGCCTTCCTCCAGAGCCTAATTCCAACTACAATCTGCCACACCAGCTCCAGCTAATTAACCTTTTCCCAAGTCCCTGATTTGCTGGATCAGTTGTATTAGTGCTGTATAAGGAGGCACAGCAGCTTATTAAATGCAAGTTGGAACTAAACTCTGCAGACAAGTAAATCTCCAGGAAGAGGAGTGGTAAACACTGCTGTAGAGCTTTTCCGGTCATTTTATTATCTACAGCTCTGTTTATTATTCTGGACACTATATCATTGTCTAAAATCTCTTCATTTTCTTTACAGAACTAGCATTGGTTCCAAACATTTGAACAGAAATATATTCTCCTGACCCCTCATGCTCTGTGGATGGGGGCATTGGAAGAGATCATCAGGATATAACTGTTTCATTACAGGATAAAGGTTGTCATTCAGAATAACTTCGTTTTGATTTACAGTGAGCCTCCCCTCTTAAGGGACAAGAGGACTCAAACCATGCAAGAAAAATGCATGCCCCAAAAAACAACAGAGCTGTTAGACCCTTCACTGTAGCGAACAAGCATCCAGGCCTGTACCATTCTCCGTACCGACCAGCTGTCTCACTGTCTGATACGGAAACTCCACCGTCTCAGACCACAGCGGATTGTGAGGACAGCTGAAAAGATCATCGGGGTGTCTCTACTTGCCATGGATAACTTCCTACCACAAGTGCTGCATCCACAAGGTCACCAGCAACGTGGATGACCCCTTATACCCCCTTCATGGACTCTGACTACCATCTGGCCATTCCACCACCACCAGATTCTACAGCTGCTTCTTCCCTGAGGCAGTCAGATTACGCAGTGAAGTCCCCCAACATCCGCCTGGACTAATCTGGGCCATTTCCAACATCCACCATGGACCAACTAACCGTCACTGCAGACTTGCGCTTTAAAGTTCTTTAATTCACTGTGTGCTGCTATGGGAGCCCAATCTGTCTGTTCATATAGTCTTGTATGTCCACCCTTTGCCTTTAAAACTTCCTTTGCCTCTTTGGGTATCCTCTGAGCAACTTTTGCATCCTCTCAGGTGTAATGTAGTCCATATTTTTTACTTTATTTGCCTCTAAGGACTTTTTAAAGTCCTCTGCTGTTTGTTTCGGATTCTTGCAGAGCTCTCGAACAATTTTTCTGGCAGTTCATTCAGTTATTTTTCTTGGCCTTCCACTTCTTGGTAGAGTGTTCATATGTCTACATTTCTTCCATTTCTGGATTATGGTCTTCACAGTCGCTACTGATATGCCAAAATGCTTTGTTATCTTTTTATATACATCACCCATCGTTGTTGCTCTCAGTATGTCCTGTATGCTTATTGTCTGGTGTATTCATTATATACTCATTTCACATTCTCGTATATCTGCACTTTATGTAGTCCCATGCAATGAGCTGCTGTTATGCATTGCACCAGGAGGCCTGACGATTGACATTTCATTCCAATATATACAGGTTATATTGAGAAATGACAATCAAGACCACTTGACTTGATTTGACTCTTGGTGTATTGTGCACATGCAGTCACCCACATGCACTATTAAGGATCATTCATCTGACCATATCTCTTTTCCCCACATCTCTGTAGATCAATGCCTGTAGTTTTTGCACCACTACTAACTCTCAAATGTGCATTCATCTTTGTAATGAGGGGTTTATGCACTGCCACCCTATTATAATATCCCTCCCTGTGTAGTTGTGGATGGACAGTTCTTGCTGACACAGTCACCTGAGAAACAGTTGGTCTTCTGGTTTTCTTTACATATCGAACCAATGCATGCGCATCATGATCACTGAATGTGCGCTTTTTACCACATCTCTGTTTACTGATGTCTTCCCCATAGATCTAAACACAGTTAAGCCACTGTTTCTGTTGAAGCATTGGCCAGTTGAGCAGTCTTTGTGAGCGACTGAAGCTCCTGCCATTTGCGCCCCAATAATGAGCCCTCTTTCAAAGTCACTTAGATCTTTTCCTCTTGCTATCTTGATCCAAAATCAAGGACAACTGGGCCTCCTCTTTTTGTAATTCATGGTGCAGAGCATGGTAGGTTGTTAATTGTTTATTGTATCATGCAGTTATGTTTCTCCACTCATTTTTTCAGGTTTTTCCTTTAATTTGTCCCCTGTCTGTATATACACTCTCTCACTGTCCACTTTATTAGGTACACCTAACTTGTATTTAGACTCATTGTCTTGGCTGCCTGGTGTATAAACTCTAGACTAAACTTTAGTAGTGATGTCTGGAAGTGCACTCTTTCCTCACTGCTTGATTTGTAGGTGGATTTAGGACTGATGTCTTGTGTTATCACTATCAGCTCTGTACACTCATACTCAATAGCGTTATTCCACACCACTGAGCTTCGACCACTGGGCTTTCCATACCAATATTGATTCATTACATAAAATGACTTTTCGAGATATGAGCTATCCGGGAGCCTTGTCTCTGCAGGCAATTAAAGCACACAGGCTCCTCAGGGTGATTCATCTCTGTCCAGCAGAGGATATGGCTGACTCCACAGTGCCTTCCACCAGACAACATAAAAGAGCAAATCCACCAGTACCTGCTCTCCCAGCAAATCTCTTCCACAACTTACAGCTCTATCGTATGCTATTTTACTTCTATTCACACTGAAAAAGACCCTGAGGAATGTTTCTGTGTAAATAGTATTTTCAATTCAAATTCCATGTCTTATTTTTTGCTACTGTGCAAAAATTTAAAGACAGCTTTTCATTTCATTTCATTTCCAGACATTTTTTCAGGAGATATTTCTGAGGAGATATAAGATAATCAACTTGCATAGGGAAGTCTAAATTTGTAATCAGGCTTACTTATGAGGATTATGAGAAGCAGACCAACTACTAAGACTGAACTTTGGAGGTGTGGAAAAATATCCCTGCAGATTTCTTTAAAAAACTGAAAGCAAGACTCTTGAAAAGAGTGGAAGCTGCAATAAAGTCAAAGGTAAATACTGAAAAAACCTGTAATTATATTTAGTTGCTAAGGCTTCTGTGTAATTGCCTGTTAAATAGATTTTCCTGCTTTTTTCCTGACACAGAAAAATGAGTAACCTGATCTGAATGGCTGTTATGACAGAAAATGTAATAAATAAAAATGAAGGTTGGTCCCTGATTGTGAGATTTAATAAGCAAAACACAGTCAAATAAAACAAGGAGCCATGTTTTAAAAGTATAGCTTAATATAAACATTTTATTCAGTGCATTTTGTGTATACAACAAATAAGAAACAACTGGAAGGTACCAGGCAGAGCGCCCATCAGTACGTGTTGTTTTCCGGTTTATTCCTGGTAGTTTGGAACACATGATCCAACATGGGGTTAATACACATAGCCTACATCATGCAGCTCTATTCCTCCAGTTCCTGCTGTCTCCCATGCAACAGATATGTTGAGATCAAAACAAAAAATAAAAAAAAAAAAAAAAAAAGAAAAGCCCAGAAGGAAACAGCCAAGAGAAAAGCCCCCCCTGTAGCAATTATGAAGAAATTATATTTCCAGAGGGAAAGAGTACATACAGTAGCCCACAAAAAAGGGTCCTCGTTGTACACAACTTGATTTTGTACATGCTCTGTACAAGAGAGGTTATTTTTTTTGTTTTTTTTTTCTCCATTTTCAAGATTTTTTTTTCACTTTTACAAATAAGACATATCCTATAAAATGTTAAGCCACCTAAAATTCCACAGTATTTTTTTTTTCATATTTATTTATTTTTTTATAGAAAATCGTCACAATAAGTTACTCATACACGAAATGGAGTCCAGGGTTGGGGAGGGGTTGGGGTCCCGCCTTGTCCTGGTGGTCACCTGGTAACAGTGACCAGCTTCAGCTGAAGGACAGAATAGTCATGAGCGGGTGAGGCAGAAGACGAGCACTCAGACAGGCTATAGGGGCTTAGACAGAGACAATGTGACCCAAAGGAGACAAGAAGGGAAACACGTAACAGTCCTCTCGTACCACGCACATCAGCAAAAGCACATCTCCAAAATACTGAGCCCTCTCCTCCGCACAGCCAGCAGCCCACCTCCAACCTCTTTCTCTGCAAACAAGTAGGCCTACACAACAAGCATTACAGTTCATCACTCCCTGGCATGCCTATGTATACTGGCGTGGATCGACCGTTTAAAGGGACTCTCTTACACTTTTGTCTTTGGTGTGCTGGAATCTCCATTCACTGATTAAGCCTCAAAAAAACACTGAATGTTGGGGTGGGGTGCACTACAAAAAATGACATCTTGTCGAGTAAAAAAATCTTATATCTAGTCAATATATGCAATATTTCTCATTAAGAGATTGTAGTGCAAGTATTATAAGATTATCAAACCTATTTCTTAGATACTTTTACTTGTTTTATGTAAGTTTATCTTGTAAAATTAACCCTAAATCCCGCCCTGAGCCCAGTTTCCCAAAAGCATCTTAGTGTTATGATCAACTTAACCAGGAGAGAGTATTCGGTGTGAATCTCATTCTACCATTTAAGGATAATCTTCATACTAAGATGCTTACAGGAAACCCAACCCTGATAGATAACGGTTGAAGAAGGTTGAATTATCTTAATTTTGCTAGATAAATGACTAAATGTTTAGAAATAAGTTAAATAATCTCAATGTTCTTACAACAACCTTATAATAAGACACTTTAGCTATATTGACTACATTTAAGATGATTTTAATTGCTTGTAATTTTTTGCAGCGTGGCGAGGGAAACAAAGGGCCAAAAAGTAATAAATGCTCAGGGCTAATTCAAACAATTAGCAAAGCAGGGTCACGCTGCATACCTCTTGATGCTAAATTCGCGAGGCCGTGCCTTCCCTTGAAGTGGGCACAATGCAGGCTTTAATATTTCCATGCTGGAGAGGGTTAACCCCTCTGAGCAAGTGCACTAAAATGCAGGAGAGCTAGCGGCTAGCGCCTGCCCCTCGCAACGGGGGGGCTTCACACTGGGGAAGCATGGAGGACAGGGGTGCCTCTTTATCCTCGCACCCAAGCAGCTAAACCTTCACTCACTGCTCTCATCTCCTAACAAATGCATGGGGACCTAGTGTCGGCCCGTGATCCTTAATGAAATCAAAAGAAACCCAACTCGGTGTGGCGTGCTAATACCAACCTGAGAGGGACTATGCTGAATGCCCAGTCATATCAAAGGCTACAGTTTTCATTTCACCTTACCGTGGTGTAAAAGTAAAAGTCTAAAACCTACAGCGATCCAACTCAAAACAGAGCGGTACTCTAGATTCAGAAAAGGTCTGATGTTGCTATGTAATGTTGGTTGTCTTTGTCCTGAACCACTGAGAGTTTTTTTTCCTTTTCTTATTTTTTTATGTTTATTTTTGTTTTCTTTTTTTTTTGGAGAGAAGTCTGCGTGAAGTCACGAGCGTCCGGAGGTTTTGGTGAAGGCGTAGGGTAAAGCGGGCCGGGCCGGGCGAGCTGGGCTACGTGGACTCGTTCTGACTCACAGCTTTGCCTCCGTTGAGGACGGCTGAGGCACTCCGGCTCTTGGTGGGCGTACCGCTGCCGGAGCGCGAAAACTCAGTCAGGTCATGTAGAGAGGGCTCCCGGTACATGGTCACTGCAGAGAGAGTAAGAGAAAGAGAGGGAAAGAGTGAGAAAGAGAGTAATGTATCTTTACTGAATGAACATCACTATTATCTACTGCAAGAACAGTCTTTGAATGTGACTACATTGACGCTAGAAGCACAAACAGGTCCGGTCCAGTTTAGCTTTATTTGTGTAACATGATAACGGGGGAACTCTGGGATTTTGAGTTCTTATTCATAGTTGAAACTCGTTATGTGTGTTATACCACACTCTCTCTTTGCCCTTTTCTTCTGCATGCCCTCACAACAAAAACACAAGAAATGCTGCGAAAGCCTGACGTTAAGTTGTGTTGCTGTCCGTTCTAGAAATCTGTTAGGATTTTAGAAGTCGTGTAGTGTATGCTCAGCTTTACATAATCAAAAAAACATTTTTTACTTGACTGGAGGTGTTCAAACTTTTGCATATGACTGTATCTGCTTTAGCAGCTTGCCTTTTGCCTCTACAAAAATATCTGTATTTCTAAGTTAGCTTCTTGCTGTGTAGGCATTGCATGTTACTTCAGCTGCTAGCTTGAGGACAGCAGTGATCTTGGGGCCTGTACATCATAGCTCTATGCTCAGCTAAATGCTGTCTGTTCTTCTAAACTGTGGCTGCAACAGTGAGGGAGACTTCCTCACACAAAGCTTCTTCTGCCTACAACAGGCAATCGATACAGCACTTCAGTGGAAAGCTGTTAGAATCAATAGCTGACGTATTAGCAGGGCTGCAGGGCGACCGTGCTCAGAGCCGCTCTCTGGGGGGATTGCAGGAGACTGGAAGGCTGAAGGCTGGTCATTATCGGTGCACTCTCAGTAAAGCTGTCTCTGAGGTTTGTCCACCACCAACTCATCATTAAAGTAAAGCCATATATTCTACTATGTCTACAGTCCCATCAAAAGAAGAGAAGTAAAAGGCTTGCTAATTAACAGTTGATCTGTTGACAACATCCCTTCAAAGCCCTTTGCTAGCAGTTTTTCCTATCAGGCAAATTGCCTGAGAGTGTAGACTCCCTCAGAGCAAGCAGACGGTGCACAGTGGCAGCAGACAGGCCATTATATTTCTTGGAAGTAAAGTAGGTAACTATAGGGTGCATTTACGTAGTCCGCTGTCAGTGACTCTCTCGTTACAACTTGCTCTCTACAGAGAGAGTTCAGTGTAGAGCTCGTGCTCTCGGTGCACTGACAGTTCCCTAATTGGTCTTCCAGAAGACTTGCTAGTCAAGAGTTATTATACGCCAGGTGCAAATTTCTTGCCTCTCTGAAACACAGAAGTTTCAAGTAATTAAAACTGCTGGAATAATTTAGAATTTGAAGTAGTTTTTAAAAAAGTCTCGATGTGCCTCCATGTGATCTCTCAGGAATTCAATTTCAATATCCGTCAGCCTTCAAATCATCACTGCCATAAAAAATAAGCCCTTTTAGATTGTTTTTGTATGTTGGACATACAAAAAAAATGCCACTTGAAAATAGGAATTTTGGAATGCAGACCTTTTTTTGAAGTTACAAAAAGGCTGGAAGGCAAATACATATATTTCATTAGCTGAATGGAAGAAATGACAATTCACTAAAAATCTTCCATCCCCAAAACCATCAGCAGTGTGCTCTCTCTGTAACATCAGTAGACACACTGGCTTTTTTTAAAAGCCAGGGCGTTAATCCTAATCCTCTATTTCATTACCGTTCATCAGATCACACCTTTAAACATCCTCCTCTCACCAGCTAGCCTCGTTTCAGAGGAATTACCACATAAAGGTAAATGAGATATTCTTATCTGCACTGCCTCTGAGAATAAATATGCATTCATATACTGAATACATTTTCAAATGACAGCTGATTAAAAATATCTGAAAAATGTACATGCATTTTGATGATAATTGACCTAAAGCAGTGCAGTGGGTAATTTATGCTCATTAGCAATTTAACAAATCTGTCATTTTCACTCATTTGTATAGAAATGGAACCATTAATGCTTTAAATTCCAGGTTATATAATATCACCTGGATTAATGTTGCCACTGCTGTGGAATCAGCCCTCCTTCTTGAGGCATGTCTGTCATTGTTCACAGGCACTAGTTCAGACAGCCCTTCTATATATTATGATACAAGTGTCTAAAGGAGGCAGTTGAGTGAAGACACCACACTTAAGGTAGAGCAAGAAGTGAAGACACTGCACTTTTCATTCACCTGCAAATCAAAACTTCCAGTGTTTCGCCCACCTTTCTGCTCTGGAAACAGCAGAATCAGAGCTGAACAGCACTGCGCTGGATTCACTTTGAGCAACAGCGTGTCACAACATGGCCCTCATCACCATATTTGTTGTGATTTTTTTGCATTGACAGCTCTTCTTTTCACTGGGCTGGAATTTGTGCTGAGCCTTCTGCACTCCTCCCTCTGTCTCTCCCTGCCTCATGTTGTTTCTCTGTTGACAGGTAAAATATTCGGCTTGAAGATGAAAGCCCCTGTGCTTCTTTCACATGCTGTTGTTGAACACAGCTTTCTCTGCTGCTCTGTGCTCTCTCACTGTCTCTGTGTACCTGCTGCCCTGGCCTGGATGGCCCTTTTGTTGTCAGAAAGCCCAGCTGCCTGCACTGGTGCTTTAACATTTCTGTAACAGACAACCTTTTGCACTTTTTGGTGGAGATGATGCATTCACTGGCTCTGTCACACTTTATTGCCTCCTAGCGCACAACTCTGATGGAGGCCTTGCCTATATTACATTACAGGAAACCTAACATCTTACCAGTGACACATTCAGAGACTTTATTTTCATCCTCTTTAATTTGTTTAAATCTGCTGCCAGAGGAGTTACGACATGTCCATGTCCACATTCGCCATAGTAGAATGTATCAGCATGTGGAACTGGAGCTTTCTATTTGCGAATGATGAGGTTGTTACATGCATTAACGTGCCTATTACTGATTTGTTTCAAGACTGTAAAGTTGGCTTTACATGTTGAAACTTTCATGCAACTTTAGTTGTACCAAATTGCACGTGAGCTGCACAATGCAAAGTGCAATGCAACTCATTTGAAACTCAGCCGCAACTCAAATTTCATGCAACAGCCAACCAAAGCTACATCATATGATCACGTCAAATGACATACTTTCAAACCATTGATTTTACCATATCAATTGACAAGAACATAAAACAGAAGATGGTTTATTGGGCAGTTGAAGAGGAGATAGGTTGATAGTTTTATTTTGTCAGTTTCCTGAGCAGAACAGCAAACATGAGTTTCCTGAGGCTAACGTTTTTTGTAATCAGCTGTGTTAACTAGCCAGCTACCAATAACAGCTGTTTGCTTGTGCCAGCATTTACTCTTCTTTAGCCTGCTGTCAATGTGATGTACATAGCAAGATTCATTTACTCCTCTCTTGTTGTCCTTTAATATTACACAGAATTCAGATTAATTTGGGATCTAAAACATGAAAATTATTGCAGAAAAGGAGACACACACAGTGCTTCTAGGACAGGATGAGTAAGACATTAAGTAGGCTGTAACTGCAATGGCTACTTAAACATTAATTTTCAAAGGTTTAACATACAAAAGATAGAAACTCATATATAGTATAGAACCCTAGATAGATAGATAGATAGATAGATAAAAAGTATGGCATGACAGCTGGAAAAAACATGTAAGGTTGGTAAAAATGCAAATATATAAATTTCACCTTGCAGATAACTTATGATACCATGTATCAAAAAATATGACCTGCTAATTTGGCTAACTAGTGGCTTAACTGAATGTGTTGTATATAACTTCCAAGTTGCACAGAAATTATGTTATAGGCAACTCACAACATGTAACTAGTTGCATGAAAGTTCAAACAAAAGTGTGAGGTATGTTTTTATCTATTTCTGTGTTTTCTTGATGAACAATATTGTTTGTGATTGTTTGTGGTTAAGATAAACTTTATAGAATGTAATCTGAAGTGCTAAACCAGCCAAAAAATCTACAATCATTTAAACCATTGAAAGTCTTTTTTTACTCAAATGTCTTCTGTAAAAGTTTATCATACTAACTATAATCAACCTAAGAGCTGGCAAGAGGAAAGATCAAATAAACCAGCATCTCACCTTTCAAAGGCTTGGGTAGGAAGTGTGCAGCAGGCTTGTTCTTCTTCACGTGGTTTCCCTTCATAATCTCTCCCTCCTTGTTCAGGCCCAGGTACCAGCCCCTGCCCGACTGCTGCTGTCTGTAGATCATGGAGGAGTACGTCACGTAGTAGTTCTCAAACACCGACTCCTTAAACTTGCACTCTGGTGTGAAATGTTCCTGCAGAGTGAAAGAGGAAGGGAGAGGAACAGGAGAGAGCAAAGTGCAGGTGAGGACTCTATCGGCTGAAGACATTTTCTCAGAGTCAGGTGAGGTATTGAGAGCACTTGTTAAATGCAAAATCAGGGGCATGATGTTAAAGGAGGAGTTGCGGTATAGCCAGCGGTTTCACACTTGGTCATTCTTGAGTCTGCACCCTGGATCGATTCTGGGTAATCATAGCAGGTTTGTTTTCACACAAGAGAATTCTTTTCAAATTGTGGACCAGTTGTGCAATTCTATACGTCACTTGCTCAAACCATAATGAGTGTGTGGTTATTGCTGGATGCCATGCTCTCATCACTCTACAATTAATATAACAAAACTGGACTATTGCATATTTGCTGAAGAAAAAAAATATGGTATTTCATTAGTGATGAATTGTGCAGCTACATGAAAAAAGAACTGTAATTTGGACCATGCTGTAATAAAAAACTTTAAACTAAAGAAGAAAAACGTAAACTTGGAAGGAACATGAGATTTTTTTGGATGTCTAATGCCAAGTGTGGATAATTTTCAGACATGGTGTGAACCACACTACGTTCACTTGAAGTGAATCCTAGACCACTGTAGGACCAGTGGTCGGTGTTCTGGGCAGGGTACATGTTCAATAACAGCTTTCACACTTGGCCAAATGTACCAAACTCTCAGTGCAAATGGTCTTATGGGTGATAACAAAGTGCGAAAACAACCACTGAAACACATGAAAAAATAGATTTAGACAGTGCTCTGAAAAAAGTATTTGCCCCTTCCGAATTTCTTCTATTTTTGCATATTTGTCACACTTGAATATTTCAGATCATCAAATTACTTTTAATATTAGACAAAGATAACCCAGTAAACACAAAAATCATGTGAACTGTCTATTACCTCCGTCAAGCCTGTCTTCCTCGCTTAATGATCAAACTAAATGTCCATTTTCTCCATAAACCCTATCTTCCCCGTGTCTTCCCTCCATGACGCTCCATACTTGCCTTTTTTCTCAAACATCTCCTCTAGTCTATCACAACCTCCCCATCTTCATTCTTCATTGTTTTCCTACATGCATCCATACTCTTCTATCATGTAACAGAGTGGGCTAGGTTGGTCTTCAGGTGACTGCATAGACCCTGCATTGCTGGATCTACAGGAACATGGCTCCTCATTAAGACAAAGGTTTCTTCCCAGAAGGTTTGGTCAGGTGCCAACTGGCAAGTGTGCTTAGCAACAACTAACAATGTACAGTGCAATGGTGAGAGAGCAACTGCACTTTGTATCATCCCACATCCTCTCGATTCTCTTTATTGAGCAGCCACTAATTGGTTTTCAAAGGCTATCCTACTCGTATCCTACTCGTTAAAGCATTCAGCATGAACTAAGGCCGGTACAAGCCCAATAGCAATATCTACTGAAGGTGGACCAATATAGTCTACACTGAAAAGGTCTATATTGGATCTAATATAAAAAGTTTATTCATTCACTATACAATTATTGCATTTTGTCTAATTACAAACTCAAGCTAAGAGCTGACTACAGAGTGACTGAATCCTCTGTGGTGTTGGTTAGGTGAATTAAAACAGCAACTCTTCAGTAAAAATCAGATTATTAACTTTAGTTAAAGCCCCTGAGAGTGTAGCTGGTTTATAAGTAACTTCAGGAGACAAGATGAATGAGAAGACCTGAGGGCTTCCTAGCTGTAATCTCCATTGTTTCACAACGACAAATGAAGTGGAAATAGTATGCTCTGAATTTGCCAATAGGGAAATAAGGAAACAATAAAACATCTTTGTGTCAAGAATTGTTAAATTATCAACTTTAAGCTGTGGATGCTGTAAGACTACTTTGCTTGTTCAGATACTAACCCACAATACACATGACAATCTACAGAGCCTCCACACTGCATCCTGTATAGACGTTAAGTCCTACATCATCAGTCTTGTATCCTGATAGTGGTCAGATAAGATTTATCTAACTGTTTCCCACTTGGCTACTAAAGTGCATTTATGTTAGACAGATAAAAATCCAATTTGCCTTAACAGTGCATTTCCTGCATTGCATTCAAATCCAGATAACTTTTTTTCAGTGATTTACTGTCACTTACAGCATGGTTCCATTTTTGAAGGAGTAATGATTTCTTATGTGGTCAACTTATAATCTTTGTGTGGTTTTATATACCAAAAACAGTCATAGTTCATTTTTACATTAGCATTTCCCACCTCGCTTTATCCCTTAGAATTAAACAGGCTGTTTTTGTCAGCGTGCCTTAAAGACTGACATATGTAAATTACCTCTGTTCTGATCGGTTGCCCTGTGTTGCGCCACATTCAAAAAGCAGTCCAGATTGGGGACCAAAACAAGCTCAGATAGGTTTTTAGTGATATGGGTCCTTTAATAGTTGCCTTAGCTGTGTTTCCAGTGCATCTCAAACCACCTTCTGAAGTGGTTTGAGATGCACTGGAACAACACCTTCTAATAGTGGGTGTTGTTCCTCCTTCTGTTTTTTCCAGTTCCATGCATCAACTGATTGCATTGAAGTCATGGACCATGTTCTCTTACAGTGTATTGTACTAGGAAGGGCTTTGGTTGTTAAATGTGACTTGGAGAGATTGAGGTATTTACACTTGTACAACATCTGCCTGAAGTGCATGTCTGACCACCTCCAGAAGTGCTTTAAGTAATCAGATTTAAATCTGTTGTAAATACTTCTTGGGTGCATTTACACCTGCGTATTAATAATGAATATGTCATTATATATATGACATTCAAGATGCATGAGACAATCAGCGGTAAACAGCCTCTTAGATTTTCTTTCTCAGACTACTACATACTGCACACGGAAATAGAGTCTGTGTAAATGGGTCCTTCATTGAGGACGCTTTGTTGTGCGTCCTTGAGAAGCTCTAGTCTCGTTCATGTCAACCATCCCTCAGCCGGCCTTGAGTTGAACAGAAGCGTCTTGAGTACCACAGGCAGACAGTCTGTTCTCAGTGACTCACACATACACACCGAGTACCCACACACAGAGTGTCAGGAACGCTCCCGATGTCAAACGCGGCCGCTGACATCGCGCCTCACCAGAGATGGGCTGTCGGATTGACGCTACACTTCGGCACCACCTTGGACAGAACGGACCGACGCTCAAACGAAGGTGAGGACATGAGATGGGCTCAGAGCCATGCTTCAGAGTGGCTGTCCTACAGAGGGGAAAGAGTTGAGACACTATCCAGAGTGCGGGGACACAGGGTCAACACTCGGGATCAATGCCTCATCCCAGGTAAACATGCCGAGATCAATTTGCACAGGATGGCAGGCACATCTCCAGGCAGCGGTCAGCATCACTGCTGTGAAACCCCAGACTGTTTCAGGTCAGAGGCAGCCAGCAAGGCACAGCTTAGCTTTAACCATATTTGATATGAGACCCTAAATTCTACCACTTCTCAACAATGAAAAAAGAGTACTCTGAGCAACAGTAATGGTCCAAAATGACTGATTTTTTTATTTATTATTTATTTATTATAACTTTCTTTGAAGCTTAAGTTTTTTTTCCTTATTATTCTATAAAGATATAAGGTTTTGTTCTGACAGTGACAAATATGTAGTCAAATATGTAGTTTTTGTACAGTGTTTCACATTACATGAAATGGCCACTTTATCTCGGCCACTTAATCGTCAACTGGTAGGGCATTAAATGTTGTACAACTACATACAAAGTGAAAACACTAAGTCAAAAGATCAGGTACAGATCAACTCTTAAGGCTACTGTACACTGACACGTCACACAATTCTAAACCTTTGTTTCTAATGAAGGTGCAAACATTGCCACTAACATTCAGCAGTGATTCACTGCAACTTCCAACACAGTTCAATTTCTCAAACTCGTTATTTTGCTATTAAATTTAACCAAGAACAAGGCCACAAAAATAAGTGATGTGACTTGAAATTTACACAGAGAAGGTAGACAATCTAAAGTCTTTCTGAGAAACAGCAAATGCTAATCTGTTACCACAGCTAATGTTACTAGCCTAGCCACCTCATATTTTAGCTCTAGTCCTCGCAGGGCAAAACACTGCAGACTTCAGCACTCTGCCTCATTAAATACACCTGATTCAGCTTATTAGCAAGGCCTCCATGAACTGAATTCAGAGCGTTAGATGAGGGTTAACACTAATCTCCGCTGCACTTTGGCCCAGAAGGTCCCCAGTTCGACAGGCATGCACTAAATGATGCTGAAACTCTGCAGTGCATTATGGGTATTCTGTGTGCTAAGGTATATCCATTGTACTATTGCACTCGATGCCCTCCACTATGTTTTCATCACTACAAACAGCTTCCCTTTATAGTGAATAGGCCACAGTTTTGGACACAGCCTGTATCAGTCTCTCCAGCCCAAAGGAAACCCTCACTCACAGACAGCCCTGATCTCTTCACAGTTTAAACTGATTACCGCCAACTCTGGTCCCACTTACATAAACATTCTGTTGTCAGTGGCAACGGTTAATTCCGCAGCGGAAGGTCATATTAATTAAAAACAGTTGGAGCACAAACGCAGAACACAAAGCTGTTTTCCCGAAAACAATCGGATTAAACCCTGTCTTACGGAGGACAATTAATCATAATTATGATAACAACAACAAAAACAATAGCGTCGAATGCTGAGAGAACAAGGGTGGGAGGTTACCCTCGTTACATGGCAACCAGTGGATTTGCACACTGCTTTATTGCTGCTTCGGACAAAAACAAAAAAATATTACAGCACAATAGTCAGTACAGCCTGCGCTTTCACTTTTGCTATCGGCCTCTTGTGCATAATTCAAAACCACTCTGCTCTATCATTATAAGTCAGTATACTGTATTACTGTCCATGTGCAAAACTGAGATGTATCCACTTGAATCCACTGATTGTCTGATTAGCCAGCGGCCTTGTTTCGTCTGTGACACTGAATTACCCCATACAGAAGGTAGAAAGAGTTATGATCCGGCTC